TGTAGAAATGGGGGGTCGCCATGTTGCCCAGGCTGGTCTCGAACCCGTGGATTCAGGCAGTCCTCTCGCCACCGCCTCCCAAAGTGCTGGAATTATAGGCGTGAGCCACTGTGCCCAGCTGGAGGATTATTTTTGATTTGGCAAGCCTGAGAATTCCAAATTAAGACACTAGTGAGACAAGTGGCTTGCAAGATTGGAGTTCAGGGGAGAGTGGCTAGCTGGAGATAGAAAAATGGGTGGAATCAGCATAGAGATGGTATATCCACTTGGGACTGGTGGAGATTATCAAAGAAATGAGTGTAGATGGAGAAGAAAGAGGGCGGCCTTCAGCATCTCAGGTCAGGGAGATGAGAAAGAGTGATACACTAATAGAATTACATCCTCTGTTTAGGGATGGTTACACTGTTTATGGTGGCTACACCCGATATATGAATTGGTCATACTATTTATTTATTTATCTAGAGATGGGATCTTGCTGTGTTGCCTAGCTTGGAATGTTGTGATGCAGTCATAGGTCACTGCATCCTCAAACTCCTGGGCTCAAGGGATCCTTCCTCCTCAGTCACTCAAGTAGCTGGGACTACAGGTGTGCATCACAACATTCGGCTAATTTTTTTTTTTTTTTTGTAGAGATGGGTTTCACTATGCTGCCCAGGCTGGTCTTGAAGTCTGACCCCCTCTGAGCTTGAAGAGCTCTGGGGTGGCTGGGTTCGGTGGCTCAGCCTGTAATCCCAGCACTTTGGGAGGCTGTAGCTAGTGAATTGCCTGAGCCTACGGGTTCGAGACCAGCACAGGCAACTTGGCAAGACCTCATTTCTACCATAAATCAAAAATTAGCCGGGCGTGGTAGTGCGCACCTGTCGTTCCGGTTACTTGGAAGGCTGAGGCGGAAGGATCACCAGAGCCCAGCAAGTTGATGCTGGGGTGGCCGTGAGTGTGCCACTGCACTTCAACCTAGTCGACAGAGTGAGACTCCAACTAAAAAAGAAAAAAAAAGAAAAAGAAAAAAAGAAAAGCTCTGGGGTTACAGCCGTGATCCACCATGTCTGGCCCTATTTATTTATTATTGTTTTGAGTTAGCACCTCACACTCGCCCAGGCTGGAGTGCAGTGTGATACGCTCACAGCCACTCCAGCGTCAACCTGCTGGGCTCAGGTACTCCTTCGGCCTCAGTCTTTCAAGTAGTCAGAACTATAGGCATGTGCTACCATGCCTGGCTAAGTTTTTTGTTTATTGTAGAGGTGAGGCTCACCAAGCTGCCCAGGCTGGTCTCGAACTCCTAAGCTCAGGCAATCATCTTGCCTCTGCCTCCCAAAGTGCTGGGATTACAGGTGTGAGCTATCGTGCCTGGAGATTTATTTATTTATTTTTACAGGGACCACTGCAACAGGGTCTTGCAGTGAAGGAGAGAGATTTGACTCAACTCCCTGGGTCATATTATTTCTAAGGGAAGTACAATGCACTGAGGGTCTTTTTTTTTTGAGTTGGAGTCTCACTCCATCGCCCAGGCTGGAGTGCAGTGGCACGTTCATGGCCACTGCAGCCCCGACCTGCTGGGTTCAGGCAATCCTTCTACCTCAACCTTCCAAGTAGCTGGAACTACCGACACAAACTACCACATTATTTTTTGATTTATTGTAGAGACAAGGTCTCACCAAGTTGTCCAGGCTGGTCTTGAACCCCTGAGCTCAGGCAATCCTCTTGCCTTGGCCTCTCAAATTGCTGGGGTTACAGGCTTAAGCCACAGAGTCGGCCTCTTAGGGTCTTAATGATTTAGTGTTGCTCATAGAGCTGATGGGTGGGTTATCATTATTTATATTGTCCACACAGTTTCCTTTTCAGGAGTGAGGTGACAAGTCTGTGAAATGTTGTGACTTCTGTGGGGACAGTTTCTGTCCACGCCTTCCCCTGACAACAGTAGGATAAATGTTATCTGTGTCAGGACAGTAAAATGGAAGAAAAACTATCAGGTCTATGAGAGTGGGACTGTTCTCACTGTATGGACAGATTTGTTTTATCCATGGAGTGTTATACTGTTCATCACAAGAAGGTCTCGGGTCCATGAGAGCTGTGCTTTACATTGGCCCCAGAGGTATTTGTGAAGACTTTTCATAATGAATTGGGGGGGTATCCTGTTGTTCATTGGAGGTGAATGATCTTGGTTGGATGGCATATCTTCATGGAATGGCCAGTGGTGATAAATAGTATCTATCACAAATTCACAATAGCTGGTTGTTTCACAGAGTAATGCTGGGGTTCACCATCTCTACCATCTCAGTGCTCATGAGGCAACTGAATTATCCAAGATGGTTCACATTTCTGTGGTGGAGTCACATGGACCCCTGAAAGTTTACAATATCCATGGACAGGTTTGCATAACCACCAAAGTCATGAGGCCAGGGGACATTTTCACCAGGGACTCTCATTCTCTGCAGATGGTGCAGACTCTCCTGTGAGGCATGCCCACCATCCATGATTATGTTTCAAGAAACAGTCGGTTTGAAATGTCCATCTGGGTCAAGGACATTAATAGGCAATTGTGCACTGTCAGTGCTGTTTATTGCCTACAGTTGGAGTCTGTAGGGTAACGGGTGCCCATGGTATCCATGGGGGTAGAAAATTCACTCTGCTAATAATTATTACCAGTATTTATTGTGTACTTACATCACACCCCTGATTTTTCCAGTAACCCATCATGTTGAGTCTATTTAGATATCTCCATTTTACAGATGAGGAAACCGAGGCTCAAAGAGATGAACTCACTTGCCCTATGTCACAGATAGGAAGCAGCAAAGTTAGGATTGCAACCCAGGTCTCTGTCTTGCTGGTGGGAGGGTAGGGGTCACTGGTGCTGTTACTGATCTGTTATCTTTAAAATTTTGCATCACCTTCTTGGGGGTTAGTAAAGGAGGTGGTGAAGCATAATGGTTAAGTGTGGTGGCTTGAAATTGGATAGATCTGGGTTTGAATGCTGATTCTAACACTTCTTGGCTATAGGACTTTGGCAGTACGATTTCCCCTCTCAGAGCCTCACTTTCCTAATCTGTAAATGGGGATAACAATAGTAATTCTGCTCATTGGGGTTTTGTCAGGATTAAATGAGAAGATGCCCCTGACAATGCTTGGCTCAGTGCCTGGCACATCATGAACACTTGGAATTCGGGAGCTGTTATTCTAACAATGATGATGGTTATTATTGCTGGACCACACTGCTCCCAGAGGGTTACAATATCCCTGGGGGAGCTGCACTGTCCGTAGGCAAGGTTACATAATTCCCCCGGGGGGGGGGGTGACGCTTCCCTGGAGGCTTTGTTCTCCCCAAGGAGGAGGACTGAGACTTTTTTGGAGGCACTGGTGAGGAGCTGGTCTAAGGCTGACTAAGAAGCTAGCAAGGAAGGAGGCTGAGCTTGAACCTAGAGCCTGACCCCTGCAGGCTTTCCCTCTCTGTGACCAGTCCATCTTCTGGGTTTCAGTCTCTCACCCCCAAAAATCTTCTCCTTTGGTAGCTCAGAGTCTTTTTTGAGACTGTTTCTAGCCCCTGTCGGTGAATATTGCTTCTATTTGCCCTCCACTATGCTGCCGGCTCCCTGCCTCCAACAGATCTGCACTCTGATTTCCTGTTTCCCGGAGCCTCAGGCTCCATCCTTCCCTCCCGGCTGCTGCGGAGAACGGTGACTTAACACTTCCCTACGCTCAGGCTTTCAGTCTTAAGCCCTGTCTTCCTTTCTCCTGGCGACCCCCAGTGCCTCTTGGGAGCACATTTGTTCAGACTTTGGTCGCCCCCTCGTATCCGGAACCCCTGTCCTAGTGGTGGAGGTGGGGGGACCTCCGGCGCCAGCCATGTCCCTGGGACAGCTGCAGCCTGGGGATGGTGGTGGTGGGGGCTCACAAATGCATTCTCTCTGGTCACTTCCTCCCCAGCTGGACTGGGGCTATCAGGAAGGCCAAGACCCCATCCCCACAGGAGCGGAGGACACAGCCGCCTCCCCATTTCCGATGCTGGGAAATGCTTCCCACCCATTCCACCCCACCCCTGGACAGCTGCCCCCATTCAGGGGGGCTGGGTTAGGCCAAGCTGGGAAATGCTGTGGTCTCGATTATCCTCCAAGGTCCTGACCCCGTCCCCCCATGCAGAGAAGAGTCTGCCTCCTCCCCACAAAAGTTTCTGACCATCCTCGGAAGGTACTGCCCCTTCCCCCTTACAGGCTCCCAAAAGAAACTCTGAAGCCGGCAATAGGCAGGAGAGGAGGAGGGGCAGCAGGTAGCGAGTGCCGAGGACTTAAGTTATCTGCAGACTTAGAGCCTCCGAGAAGGGTCGTGACCTCCGGGACCCTATCCACCCCCGCCCCCTCCTTTTTCCCTCCCCCG